CACCGCGAGGGCAGGATCCACGTCGGGCAAGATGGTTCACCTCCACGGCCTGTCAGTCAAGACCACGTATAGGATGCTCCGGTCCAAATGACTGCGGCGAGATCAGATAAACCCGTCTGAGTTTCCGGACCCCTTCCCACCTCATCTCGTCTCCCTGATGGAGGTTCTTGAATGATCACATTGCTGCTCATCGGACGAAGACCTACCCCCGGTGCCCCCTGGGGGTTGGAAAGGCCTGCACAAGGCTACCAATCATCAAGCTCAAGCATCACAGGATAGGAGGAGCGTCTCTGAGAGACTAGCAGGCATCATCATCGAGTGGAACAGGGATTGAAAGTGGGGGATGGGGTGGTGACGACGTTTGGGACAGGGTGGGTAGGGGTAGTTGGGGGAGGGAGGAGCTAGTTCTCAGCAACAGGTATCTGGAGCGTGGTACAGGGCAAAGAGTTTTTCTCCTTTTTCTCAATAACCTGCGCTGTTAATCCTCTGGACGCAAGAGTAATCAGTGCTGGCAGGCGTTTTCTCAGTCATTTTTCCGATGTCTTCCTGATTCATTTTGTATATGGGACACTGGACCCGTTTTCCAGCAGGTGATGCTCCCCACCAATAGATGGAGCCTCTCCCCAGGTGCTAGCGGTGCCTGTTTCCACCAGCACCGCTAGCACTGCAGGGGGGTGTTGGCGATGCACCTGGATCCGCACTTCCACGGGCCTAAATGTTCCTCCATGTTCCTGCACGGATTTGAACCAGCGACCTCGGCCGAAAGAGCGAAGTCTCTTAACCACCTTGACAGAAGTGATTGTGGCTCCCATATTCCTGAGAGTAAGCAGAACTTGGGTGTGTGAGATCGCAGCCAGCTGATTAGTGTCTGTTTGCAACTGGCTGGTTGCTAGTTGATTTCAGCAAAATTTTGCTGTATGATTGGTACCTGATTGCATTTGTCAGCTTTTTTACTGATTGCTGCGTGATTGGTGCCTGATGGCAGTAAGTGACGGCAACTGACTGATTTCAGCAGCCTGATTGCAGCTGGCTGATTTGTAGGTTGATTCCTTCCTGATTGCCGCACGATGGGTACTGCCTGATTGCAGTGGGTTGACTGCTGCGCGATTGTTCTGTGCCCGCAGTTGGCTGCTTGCTGCTTGTTTGCCGCCTGATTGCAGCAGGCTGATCATTGCTGAGTTTCTGTGTGTTTTTTTCTGGGGACAATGTAGCAACTGGCTGATTTGTAATCTGATTCTTGCCAAAATTGCCGCACGCTGGTCGCTGCTTGATTGCAGCCGGCTGATTGATGCCTGATTGTTCTGTGATTGCAGTCGGCTGATTGCTGCCTGTTTGCCGGCTGATTGCAGCAAACTGATATTTGCTGAGTTTCTGTGTGTTTGTCTGGCTACTACGAGGTGTGATTGGCTCCTATTTCCAATTTTTTTAAATTTTCTTTGTTTTTATTGCCGCTCGTTAGTACTCCGTCTTTCCATTTTTTCATTTTATTTTGTCATCATCATTCACCTAATAATAGCTAATATCCTGTGCTGATTCGACATTACAACAGACTTTCTTCTTGCGGGTGGCTTAGCCTTTTGCGAGGAGGCAAGGGAGTGTGTCAAACAGTTATGACCATATGACAGTCAGCTTAGGCCTAAAATGAGGTTTTACTAAGCGGTAAAAGTTTTTTCAGGCTAATTATCCGCTAATATACCTTTCTCGGCCTTTTGGCTAAGATCAAGTGTAATATCTGTTCTGATCAGTTTAATACCTGATCCGTGGTCCATCGGGCCACATGCGGCAACTGATACCACGCGGGCCCCAGTTAGGGCCTGGTTCTGTAGTCGGCACAGTTTAGGCCTAGGTACCGGGTCACGACGGTCCCAGATAGGTCCAGGTAGGCCTAGGAACCGTCGGTTCAGTTTAGGATCCGGTAGGCCTCGTTTAGACCCCACCAGACCCAACAGTTAGTTGGTGAGGCCAGGTACCGGTCCATCGGTAGGACCGGCCGGCGGTGCAGTTTTAGGCGCCACTGTTTCAGATTTCGAAATCGGATCTGAACCGTTGGGTCCGATCAACGGTCCAGACCCGAAGGCACTCAGTAGGACTGAGGCCGACTGTGGCATACTTCGTAGCCACACGGGCCCTGCAGGGCCCGTGCCGGACATTCAGCCTAAAAGCCTAAAACTTAGGGCTTACAGGCCCCGGTCGTTTCAGCCTGAAAGCTGAAAAACGAGGGCCTGCAGGCCCTACTCCGTTTCAGCCTATTTCTGGGTCTTTCAGACCCAGAGTTTTTCCAGCCTGAAACGGAGGGCCATTTTCAGGCCCTCATTGTTTCAACCGCCCCTATGACTCAGGCACGTAAACAGGGATGCGGAACAGGCCAGAAATAGCCTGTTCCTCACGAGCTTGAGCAGGAGCTGCAGCGGCAGCCCCTGCCTCCGATCGGCATTGGCAAGAGCAGCCTCCTGGACTGCTCGCCTGCAGTCAGGAGGCACCCGGGTAGTTCATAGGGCTTCCCAGGCACTTCACGGTCAGGTAGTTGTCAGTAGGACGAGTAGTCTTCAGGATTCGGCCGCAGCACTCAGGAGGAGCGCTGCAGTAGTCTTCAGCGCTAGGCAGTAGATTAGCGCTAGCTGTAGTCTTCGGCGCTGGGTGCCCATAGCCATAGAGTAGTCTTCAGCGCTGGGCGCTGGTAGGTGGTAGATCGTAGAGTGGGAGAGATACTGGCGGAGGCCAGTGGTACTTACCTGTGGCGCCATCGCTCCAGCTCCATCTTCGTGGTACCTGCATCAAGGCACCAACTTCACAGGTTAGTACTGGACATAGAGAGAGAAAGTTCTTCTTCTTCCTCTTCTAAGTCCACCATCTCTTCTCACCCTCTCGCCACCTGACTTCTCAGACTACGACAAAGAGAGAAAGAGTTGTGACTTGAGACTTGACGACATTGGATCCAGACTGGACATTGGGATTCAGACATTTCGACGAGGGACTATTTGGGCCTGTACCGAGACTTGGTGTTGACGACATTCCCATCTTCCTCTCCTCTTTCGTCTAACCCCTCCTTCTTCGTCTGTGTATGGTTGGGGCTGGCGCAGTCTTCTTGTGTGAAGCGCCAGACCCCCTTCACACCAGATAACGGTGATGATGATGTGTGTTCAGGACTGCATTGCAATATTGATTGTTCTGTTACGATCCTGGTCATTTCCCAAGTGCAAATTCACAATGAAAGACAATGCCACCCAATTGCGAAAGAAATGAAAGCACTTGCAAGAGATAAAGACCAAAGGAGAGGTAAAGAAGAAGAAGGAGAAGAAGAAGAAGAAGAAGAAGAAGAAGAAGAAGAAGAAGAAGAAGAAGTACACCAGCAAGACCAATGACAATTCCCCCTTCTCTCTCCACCTTCCTCCTTCCTCCTCTTCACCAATCTTATTCTTCTCTCAACAATAATAATAACAATGAATGGATGAACCAGAATCAATGTCCGAAGTTCCCCCTTACTGTTGACTCAACTCACAACCCAACAACAACAACAACAAGTCCACCATGGCTATGTCTTCCTTCCTTCAACCTCCTCTCTCAAGCATAGGTCATGGCGGACTACTGGAAGACAGCTATGATGCTGCCCTGATGCCCGAAAGACAACCCAAAGCAGCTATGTCGCTGCTTGACTCGGTCCGCTATGCCTGACCCTGCCTCTAGCTGCCCTGGTGCAGCGTTACCCCAACCGGGGCCTTCCAGATGCAGCGCCCAACAAGGTGATGAAGACGGTGTCCACCATAGCTAGGCAAGTGCCCTACCACTCTCCTACCATGTCCCCTTTCTTCCTCCTTCAAGCTGGGGTGCTCGCCATAGCCAGGCTGAGCCCCAGCAGACGTTCACCTCCAAGCAGCGCTGCCTCAGACCAGCGCTGCGCTCCAGCAGCATGTCGCCAATCCTTGCATACCGCAAATGAGGAAGAGCTCACCGCTC